CAGCTACTCAGCTCTTAAACGTAAGAGAGACTTTATCTCTGAAATACCTCTTGAGGTGCCAGGTGAGAACTCTCACTTAGCACGGTTGCATCTGCTTGATAGGGGCCTGGAAGGCGCTGCGGCATTTTTGGTGGTGGCCGGTGAAACAAACGATTCCGGGTTCCTTCCTGTGGTTTATATTTGAAGGTGGAAATGAGCGGTGTTCAGGGCAAGAGGCTGAACATCAGCTGTGATCGGGTCGGCTGGCGTCCGTCCCACGGATGCGGTTTTGGGGCAGTCTGGCCCCCGCGCAGCGTACACTAGCTGGCTGTTGGGTCCCGTCTGGTTTGGTAGTGCTGAATATTAAAGCTCACGTTGTAGAGATGTAAATAAAATCCAATTCGTGCACAATTAATTGCCCTCCTCGATTAGTTTCTGGTTTTTACCTGGTACCTGTTTTTTCCCTCAGATACCTTTAGCTTATGCAGATAAGGTAAACACTGAGAGAGAGAGAATTGAAGCGCAGAAAATGTTGCCTAGAAATCACATGGATAAATCACATGTGAAACCCTTGATGCAGCCTGAGATGATGATACATGGATGGTAATTTAAAAATGAAAAGCCAGTGTGCTAATTGAAACTTTTGTGGTTGGGGCAAGGGGTTTATTTTAATGTACAGTCTATTACAATCCATCCCAGGAAAATAATTATGGGCAAGGAAGCGCAGAGGAGAGAATTAGAAATAATTCAGCAGTGAAGAGGCATGGCATTAAATAGGGGTTGCCTTAGAGATGCAAGTGTAACTCCCATGGAGCAACAGAGGTACACACATGAGCGTCACTGCAGCTTCCCCAGGGACACTTAGAATGCGTTAGCCAAGTTTTAGGAGGTATGAGTCTCACCCTGAAACATCTCAGGTTATACTGGTGAGGAAAGGTGACACTTTGGTGAAGCCTGAAGTAGACCACAGTCAAGTTCTTACCCAAACCCTAGCAGAAGTTGGCAGCTTCAGCTGTGTCATGGATGGAGGTTCGTGTTCCTCTGACGCCAGGTACGTTTCAAGCACCAGCCGCTGAAGCACTGCGGGAATGGTGCTCGAGTCGCACTAGGCACAGACCTTGTCGCCTGCGTTTCTGGCTTGGTGCTGCCTAAATTACTGTAAGGAACAAACGGGAACCCGTCTGCAAAGCAGTAGTCAGGTGGCTGATCCTGATGAGCGGGGAACTATGCTAGTGGGCACACGTTAGGGAAGGGCGAGAGCTGCAGGCATCTTGGCCTGTGCTGCAGCACCTACTTGTCCTTTGAAGTGGAACAAACTATTAAAGGTTTTGTTTTTTTTATACAGAATAAGCTATTTGTCACATGTGCCACTTAGTACATGCTTGAGTAGTTGTGTGAAGGTGAAGTATGAAAACACTGCAATATGAAATATTCGTAATTCCTTGGTCTGAGATTAAAAGAGAAATGGATGCACAGCCCATGCGGAAACGAGAGGAAGTGTTTTCCAGCCGGTTCTCCAATCCCCTGTGTGTGTACAGACTTCCTAAATTGAGCTGTTTTTGCCACCGTCCAATGTTCAATACTTGCATCCATTTCATTTCACTTGTCCTGCTGA